GGTATCATTCCACTTTTCATTTTGATGGAAAGTCATTACGGGAGTCAACGCCAGCGACAAAGAGCCATGAATCAACTGCTCTGCTATGAAATTAAAATCGAATTGCTGGCCACCCCCAACCCCTACCCTTCCTGGGAAACGGGGATGGGTAGGTGGCTTGGGAGAGGGGTGCTATCCTGGGGTGGGCTCTACCCAATCACGGAGCAGGCAGTTACGGATACGAAATGGACAGGCAGCTAGTGAAGGTGACAACTCCTGTCTCCACCTTGTTCATCTGGCCCTTCCTCCCCAAACCACATTCCCCCTCTGCCTGGAAGTAAGCTGTGATTAAAAGGAAAATACAGCTTTGCTGGCTCCAACAAGACTGCCACTCGACTGCTCCCCTTGGGCTTCTGGCCTGAGTGGGGCAGTATGGGCTTGGCTATGGAGAGAAGGGGTTCCGGCTGACTCAGTCACCCCAGAATCCTTTGCTGAACCATGTGTAGAGGCTAATTTGGGCAGCCCCCTGCCATCACCAAAAGAGGACGATTACCCAAACTGGGCCTCCCTAGGAATAGCTGATGGCCAGGGAGCCCACAAGGATCAAGAACCCCATGCTAATAGGTACACAGCCTCAGCTCCGAGCCCAGGGAAGCAGTAAGTGTCAGTAATGAAGCCAGAGTCTCTTCCTCTTTTATTAAGTCCAACTAGATGACAAAAAGGAACAGAAGCTATGGTTTCAGGCTAATAGGCCATAGGGCCAATCAAGACAGCTTCTTGCAGAGTATGGCGAGTGCCAAGGTCACCATCTAGGTGATGGTTCCAGCTTGTGGCTTTCCGTCCTCTAGCCAGTTTGATCTGTTGCAGGGCCTTAGGCCCCTCAACAGCAGCCTGGCTGTCCCCCGTCTCCATCCTGAAGGTTGCGAAGATGGGCAGGAAAAATATGGGTGTCACAGACAGGTTCCCATCAGGTTCACAGGGCGCCCGTTGTACCTCTTGGAAATGTCAGCTTCAATCTGAAAGACAGCAGTACCATGTGGGCAGCAAGCAGAGGGGCCTCACTCTGCAGAAACTCGGGGTCCTCCCCCTTGGCAGGTTTCCCTTCCCCGTCTTACCAGCTTCTGCAGCTCCTTGGTCTTCTCTAGCAGCAGATCCAGCTTGGGCTCCAGAGCTGCCTGCTCCTGAAGTGCTTCCTGCTGCTTCTGCACCATCAGTTCTTTCTTCAAAGCCAGCAGCTGGGACTGCTTCAGCTTTTGCTGGAGGAACTCAGTCACTCGGTCCACATACCTAGGCGGGGCGCTCAGGTAAGTGGTGTAGCTGTGAAATCTGAGCATCTCCATTCAACTGCTGGGAAAGGTGTGGCTCAGGAAACCAAATCCCTAATTGGTTTCTCGGCCTTCGCATCCTGCCATCCTTTTTGTATGGAATATCACTCCTGGTTCCCCTGTCCTCCTGGTTCTGCTTGTATAAACCACCCCATCTTGCCCCACAGAGAATCTGTGTCCCTAGTTGGGACGGGCAAGGTTATGGGAAGTAGGGATGACCTCTAAGGGGTTGTGGAGAAGAGGAATACAAGGAATTGGGGCTGCTCAAGGTGGTGGAGCCCTGCATTAGGCTCCCCGGAACAGCCCAACGTCAAGGGGAAAGCCAGACCTTGGTGAGGCCAGGATCATAAAGAGGTGCTGCATTCGAAGACTGGTGAGCCGGCCAATCAGAACCTGCAGTGCTGACGCCATAGAAACCATCTTTGCTTTGGTCTGGCCTTGCAAGATGGCTGGAGCCAGCTGGAACTGGCTCACAGACAGGATGTCTGCCTCTTCACTCATTTCCACTGCTCTCTGGGACAAGAAGATCTCGAGCTGAGGACCAAAGAGGATTTGGTTCAAACCAAAAAGAGAACTCAGAAACTAACCCTCAGACTGACCAGAATGAATGAAATGTGGGCCTTAGACTCTCAGTGGGGAGGGGTTCTTTTCTCCGAACACTTTTATTGCTAGAAACTCACCACCTATAACATCAGAGTTTGGGGCAGCCTCTGCTGTCACTCTTTGGTACCCCATTTCTATTTCAGGCCCTACCTAGCCCTGAACCCCCCTGCTTCCTCCTGCCCTATGGATCAGGTAACTAAGAATGCAGATTCAAAGGGTTCTTCCTGCCACAGTGAAGGTATTTTCTCTCCATGGGAGGAGAGGGACTCTAGGCATAGGAATCCATATTCGGGGAGCCCCAGACTAAGAAACAGCTATGAAGAATCCGAGAACCAGCCACATATCTTGTCACTCTTATTCGACCCCAGAACTTGATCTCTTCTGTCCTATTCTCTCCTAGAGATAAGAAAGACCTCTCTGGGCAGAGAGAGGATGGAACTGGTGAGGACAAGAACTTTTACGAAGCCCTCCCCAACCAGCAGGCCACTGGGAAGGCAACAGACTCAGAGATTAGCAAGGACAGGTCCCCAGCTTCCCAGTCCCACCATGAAGGTCCAAAAACACTGGTTCCTTATTCTGGGCTGCTCGACACCTTAGCCACAGGGATGGTACGGAAATACAAATGAGAGTAAATGGCTCCAAATCTGCTGAAAAACCTCTCGCAGCTTCTCAGTTTACTTAGAGTAAAAGCCAAAGTTCAGATGCTTCACCTCTCTGATCTCCTTTACCTCCCCCAGCTCCCTGCTTTGCCACACTGAACTCCTTGTTCATCAAATGAGCAGGGCACACTCTCATCTCAGGGCCTTTGCAGTTGCTCCCTCCGCCTGGAAAGCTCTTCTCCCAGACTTCGGCATGGCTCTCTGCACCCCTGCAGGCCTTGACTTACTGGTCACCTTCGCAAGGAGGCCTTCCCTGGCCACCCGATATAAAGCCCTGCAGCCCTTCCCAACAATCCCCATCTCCCTCTCTGGCTTCTTCCTCCGTGGCACTTATGTTAACACCCAACACACTGCATATTTTACTTGATTCATCTTGTTTCTTGTCTGCCTTCCCCACTAGAACATAAGCTCCAGGAAGTCGAGGACTTTTGTCTTGTTCCCTGCTCAATCTCTGGTACCTCAGGCAGTGCCAGGGCTTAAGAGGCGCACAACAAATATTTGTTGGATGAATGGTAGGCATCCAAATACGTGAGGCCCTGCTCCAGAACGAGGAAAGCGTTCAGTGCCCTTTACACAAATAGGAAGGGTGAGGTCAGCTGTCTGAAGTGATGCTGCCTGTGTTGATACCAGGCCTCCCGCCTTCTCCCAGAGGATGAAGGTACCTCCATGAGCTCATCGATAAACTGATTCCGGGTCTCAGGGTATTCAAGAAGTGTCAGGGCATCTGAGCCCCTAGCAACGCCCTCTGGAGCTGCCAGGAAGAGAGACAGAGAGGTGGTGAAGGAGCTGAGGACAGGAAGAGACCACCAAGTCTGAGAAGCCCCGGTGGTTAATATGTACACCAATTCATTGTACTAAAATCACTTCCTGTCCCAACCGAAGGGGGAAGAGTTTCTCTTTCCCATGTCTCCGCCCTGATCAGGCACCACAGCCAGCCCCGCGCCTGTGAAGAGGACCATAGAGCTGAGTTCTAAGGAGCGGTAAGGCCAGCCCTCCAATCTGGTGGGCGGTGGGAGTGAAGTTTCATCCTGCACTGCCCTCTCGTGGTTTAGCTCACCGCTACATCCTCTCGGCTGGAGAAAAAAGGCGGTCAGGTCCGACTACAGAGCCTATCAGCCCTCCTGGAACCACCCCTACCAGAATGGGTGACCCATGTTCAGTCACCAAAATGTTGAGAGTTTCTAGACTTAATTTTAGGAACTCTCTCTTTTCCCTTGCACTCACACCTTTACTAAGATTTTGAAGAAACTGTTAAATGTGCAAGAAGCTCAAACTCAGCAGTGTATTTTTTGTTTCTAGAGATAAGGGTGCCTTTGAGTACCGACTTCTGCCAGGGACGCAGGGGATGGATGGGTGCACTTACTCTGGGTTCCAGCTTCCAGCACTGTGATCTGCAAAGCAGCAGCATCGTCTCCCCAGTCTATCCCATCACCCCCAGCTTCCTGGGGGGAGAGCAAAGAACCCCGGCAGTGTTGGCAGATTTACTCCAGCAAAAGGAGCCGGAAAAAAAACAAACCCTCAATAAGTTCAATGACTGTACATTTTAACCGTATGAAGGACAAGCAGCTCTGATGTAGGTGGCAGAGATGGCAGTGTGGGGCCATGTATGTTGCCACCTTCACCCTGCTTTGTGGAATTACCACCTGCCTACACCTCCACACCGTGCCCCAAACACCAAGAGGAAAGAGATCAAGACTCTGACATGTCACTTTGGAAACTCTGCCTCTCCCTCAGACTGCAACTGGTCTGAGAGCTATGAACTTCGAGTGATGCCTTTAAAGGCACAGACAACACTTTTATCGCTGACGCAGCCATCACAAAGAATCCTCAGAGATGGACTGAGAGGGCATCCTAACCTTCGAGTCCGATTCCAGGGAGATGCCCCAGTCAATTCCAGCAGCCTGGGCAGAGATGCCAGAGTCAGTCCCTTCGGAAGCCACCTCCGCCCCAAAGTCGCCCCAGTCAATCTAGAAGGGGAAAAAAAAGTGTTAGCTCAGAGAAGGTGGGTGAAAAAAAGGGACCTGCCTCCCCAAGGCCTCAGCTACTTCTGCAGGGAGTGCTAGCACACTGATTCAATGCAATGGCCTTAAAGCTCCCCGAAGGAGAGCCCACCTTTGGAGAGCTTGTGGGACTGCAGGGTTCCTAGTTCAAAGCCAACCAACTTGTTGAGTCTTTTCAGCACTCGTCCATACTCTGATCTCCAGAAGGCCAGAAGAATAAAGGCGTAGGGCCTTCTGGGCCCTTCCACCTCTAGTCTCTCTCACACAAGTCCCCCTTCCTCCTCTGAGACTCTGGATTCAGGTTGCGGCAGGCTGGACTGCGTGTGTTGGAGGGAAACAGCTCTCCCTCGGCTTGTCTTACCGCATCCTCTTCTGCCTGCTCAGGAGGCTCTTCGAGGTGCGGCCGCTCCACCACGGAGGGCTCCGCCCCCGTCCTCCACTCGTACACCGTGGAGTTGCCCCGCGTCTGCACGAATCGCAGCATCGGCAACACCTGCTCGTTGGGGCTGCAACAGAGCACATAACTGACCTTCCTCCTGCCCACTCACGAAGCCCACGCTGGGCTTCGGCCTGGGCCGTCAAGTCAGGTGGACAAGGCTCCCAGGGATTCGAGTGTGTAAAATAAAACTCAAATGGCATGTGGGAAAAGTGAAGAAGTGAGAACAGGCAGGGAAAATAGGCAAACTGTTCCCCCTGCTAGAGAGACACTGAAGTCCTCTTTACCTTTCACACACAAACCCCACACAGGCCTGGTACAGGTCGATGGCTTCCCCCAGGGACTGAGCCCCAACCCCGATCTCCGCCAGCTGACTCGGCAGCTCCTTCACCAGGGCCAGCAGTTCTCTTCGGACACTGTCTCCCTAGAGAGAATCGAAGAGGCGGACTCAGACAGAGTGTCGGGAAGCAGAGTACAACAGATTAAAGAAAACACACGAACACCGGAGACAGGAGAGAAATTGGCCCAAAAAGGGCACAACCTGGCTGAGAAGGAAGCCCTTTCCAGAGGCAAAGGTGTGAGGCCCCAGGTGCCCTCCCACCTCACCAAGATCCGTCCCGCTCACCGTGATGCCATACTGTTTGCACGAGTGGTAGAACTGCTCCCTCATCTCGGCGGCCCCCGCCTGGCCCTCCTCTTCCTTGCGGCTATATTCC